CTGGGGGTTACCTGTGACACACCTGGGGGTCACCTGTGGCACACCTGGGGGTTACCTGGGGGCACCTGGACACACCTGGGACACACCTGTGACACACCTGAGCACACCTGGGCACACTTGTGACACACCTGGGGGTTACCTGGGCACACCTGGGGTTACCTGCGCACACCTGGGCACACCTGGGGGTGACCTGGGGGCACCTGTGACACACCTGTGACACACCTGTGACACACCTGTGACACACCTGAGCCCACCTGTCCCCCCCTTTCCCCAGCATCCAGAACTACACCCCCAAGGTGGGCGAGGCCGCCACCTGGGCCGCCATCCGCCGCGCCTTCCAGGTGTGGGCGTCGGCCGCGCCCGCCCTGCGCTTCCGGGAGGTTCCGTACGGGCAGATCCGGGCGGGGGCGGCGCCCGGCGCCGACATCATGGTGCTCTTCGCCGAGGGCTTCCACGGCGACGCCACGCCCTTCGACGGCCCCGGCGGGTTCCTGGCGCACGCCTACTTCCCGGGGCCGCACATCGGCGGCGACACGCACTTCGACGGCGCCGAGCCCTGGACGCACCGCGGCGACGACCTCAGCGGTGACCGGGGGGGGATGGGGGAAAAACGGGGAAATTTGGGTGGGAAATGGGGATTTTGGGGGGGTTTGGGGTCACCTGGGCACACCGGGATGGGGTTGGAGCTGCCAGGACCTTGAAGGGTCTCCATTGACCCAACCACGGCCATGAAGGGTCTCCATTGACCTTCCATGACCATGAAGGGTCTCCATTGACCTTCCATGACCATGAAGAGTCTCCATTGACCTTCCACGGCCATGAAGGGTCTCCATTGACCCAACCTTGACTTGAAGGGTCTCCATTGACCTTCCATGACTTCCCATGACCTTCCATGGCCATGAAGGGTCTCCATTGACCCAACCTTGGCCATGAATGGTCTCCATTGACTTTCCATGACCATGAAGGGTCTCCATTGACCCAACCTTGGCCATGAATGGTCTCCATTGACTTTCCATGACCATGAAGGGTCTCCATTGACCAACCATGACCTCCCCAGCCCAGCCCTTGCCCCGCTGACCTTCCAGGACCTGTCCCGGCAGGTAACGACCTGTTCCTGGTGGCCGTGCACGAGCTGGGCCACGCCCTGGGCCTGGAACATTCCAGCGACCCCTCGGCCATCATGGCGCCCTTCTACCAATGGATGGACACCGAGGCCTTCGAGCTGCCCGACGACGACCGGCGCGGCATCCAGCAGCTCTACGGTGGGCTCGGGGGGGATGGGCAGATTTGGGGAGAAATGGGCAAATTTGGGGAGAAATTGCACGGAAATTTGGAGAAAAATTGGCCGAAAATTGGGCAAAAATTGACTCAAAATTGGCCCAAATTTGGCTGAAATTGCAACGAAAAATTGGCCAAAAATCGGCTCAAATTTCCCCTGAAATTCCCCCAAATTTCCCCTAAATTCTCCCAAATTCCTCCAAAATTCCCCCCAGTTCTCCCCAAAATTCCATAAAATTCCCCCAAATTCTCTCCAAAATTCCTCCAAAATCCCCAAATTTCCCCTGAAATTCCCCCAAATTCTCCACAAATTTCCCCCCCAAAATTCCCCCAAATTCTCCCCAAAATTCCATAAAATTCCC